ACTGAGCTGGCAGGTTCGAATCCAGCCCAGGCCTGCCAAACAACAATGATGGCTGCAACCAAAAAGTAGCTGGGCATTGCAGCCGGCGCCTGTGGTTCCAGCTACTTGGGAGGCTGAGGCAAGAGAATTGGTTAAGCCCAGGAGTTGAAGGTTGCTGTGAGTGGTGATGCCATAGCACTCTACCTAGGGTGACAACTTGAGACTCTGTCTCAAAATAAAATAAAATAAAATCTACCCAGCAGAAATATCAGAATAGTTGACTAACAGAGTTTATACAATACTCCCAATGGCCTGATATATTTATGTTACTAAAGATTACACTTTTGACTACAGAATCACAAACATGGATGATTTTTTCAGTCATCTTGACTAGTCAAGCAAGATCTAGTAACACTCAGGGATCTCAGAGGAGTTAACAAAGTTCCTTCCGGCCTGATGCCCGTAGCATAGTGGTTATGGCACTGGCCACATGCATCAAGGTTGGCAGGTTCAAACCTGGCCCCAGTCAGCTAAACAACAGTGACAAGAGCAACAACCACAAAAATAGCCAGGCATTTTGGCAGGCAACTGTAGTCCCAGTTACTTGGGAGGCTGAGGCAGGAGAATCACATAAGCCTAAGAGTTTGAGGTTGCTGTGAGCTTTGACACCACAGGGCCTCATAGTGAGGGCCTCATAGTGTGACTCTGTCTCAAAAAAAAAAAAAAAAAAAAAAAAAAAGTTCCTTACAATTCCCTCTTAAAACTTTTATTGCTCTAGGAGGCACTGGGCATTCCCTGAATGTTCATATCTATTGTTCTCAAGCCTCTGGTTTTATCAAATAGAGGACTTTATACTAGATCAGGGCTTCTCAACCTCTACACTATTGACATTTTGGACCAAAGTAGAGTGCTATGGCATCATGTGGCTCATAGCAACCTCAAACTCTTGAGCTCAAACTATTCTCTTGCCCTAGTCTCCTGAATAGCTGAGACTACAGGCACCCACCACAATGCCTGGCTATTTTTAGAGACGGGGTCTTATGCTTGCTCAAGTTGGTCTTGAACTCATGAGCTCAGGCAATCCACCTGCCTCAGTCTGCCAAGTGCTAGGATAATAGGTATGAGCCACCTCCCTTGGTTAGACCAAAAGATTCTTTGTTGTGGGGGCTGTGCATGGTAAGATAAAATTTAACAGCATTGCTGGTTTCTACCCACAACATCAAAAGTATCTCCAGACACTGCCAACTGTCCCCTGAGGGCAAAACAGCCCTTGAAAACTACTGTAGTAGGGCTAAGCAAAAGTACAACAGAAGGAACAACCAGTCTATTTCATTATAAGCCTATGCCCATCAGTGCACTGGACACTTACAATGCAAATCGCTCTCACGGGAACCTGCTTACCTGAAGAAGGTGAGCAGGAACACAACAACATGATGATGGCTAAACCGGGGAAGCAGAGTTCCTCTCTGGAAAATACGTGGCCAGGCCATGTTCTTCCTCACTTTTAGCTGTAAAGTGGATAGTGAATGATTTACATCATTTCTTCTTTCTGGAAAGATAAAACACATTATTAACATTATTCAAAATAGGCAGACTATTCAAAAACTGAAGTAATTAGACCAGTCAGGATATAATCAGGCCTTTGGGGGATTAAAAAACTCACAGGTTGGGAAGCGCCTGTGGCTCAAAGGAGTAGGGAGCTGGCCCCATATACCAGAGGTGGTGGGTTCAAACCAGGCCTCGGCCAAAAAAAAAAAAATCATAGGTTGACTCAGCGCCTATAGCTCAGCAGCTAGGGCACCAGCCACGTACACCAGAGCCGATGGGTTCCAATCCAGACTGGGCTGCCAGACAACGACAACTATAACCAAAAAAAAAAAAAAATAGCCGGGCACTGTGGCAGACACCTATACTCCCAGCTACTTAGGAGGCTGAGGCAGGAGAATCGCTTAAGCCTGAGAGTTGGAGGTTACTGTGAGCTGTAACACCACAGCACTCTACCCAGGGCAAGAGCTTGAAACTCTGTCTCAAAAAATAAATAAATAAAACTCATAGGTTATTCGACACCAGAAAAGTGGATTAAAGATATTTTATAGCTATTCAAAAAAAAAAAAAGAAAAGAAAGAAGCAAAAACCTTGACAAAAGATTATATCCATTTTTTTTCAGTTTTTGGCCGGGGCTGGGTTTGAACCCGCCACCTCCGGCATATGGGGCTGGCGCTCTACTCCTTTGAACCACAGGTGCCACGCCAGAAGATTATATCCTAATAGAAAGAACTCTTAGGGCTGGGGTATGGTGGCTCACACCTGTAATCCTAGCACTCTGGGAGACTGAGGTGGGTGGATTGCCTGAGCTCACGGGTTAGAGACCAGCCTGAGCAAGCGCAAGACTCCATCTCTAAAAATAGTCGGGCATTGTGGTAGGTGCCTATAGTCCCAGCTACTCAGGAGGCTAAGGCAAGAGAATAGCTTGAACCCAAGAGTTTGAGGCTGCTATGAGCTATGTAATGCCATGGCACTCTACCTAGGGTGACGAAGTGAGATTCTAGAAAGAAAGAGAGAAAGAGAGAAAGACAGAGAAAAAGAGAGAGAGGGAAAGGGAAAAGAAAGGAAAGGGAAAAGGAAACAGGAAAGGAAAAGGAAAGGAAAGGACTCTTATACAAACTGATAAGAAAATCACTAATTTTCACCCAAAAATGAGTAGAGGAAATGAATAGACAACTCAGAAGAATAAAACGAGTATTAAACATAAGAAATAAAAATTCCAGGCCAGAGGTGATAGCACCTGTCTATAATCCCAGGACTTTAGGAGGCTGAGGCAGCATAATCACTTGAGTCTGAGAACCAGCCTAGGTAACATAGCAAGACCCCATCTCTACAAAACATAAGAAAACTGGCTCAGCACCTGTAGCTCAGTGAGTAGAGACACTCATATATACCTGGGCTGGCAGGTTTGAGCACAGCCCAGGCCTGCTAGACAACAATGACAACTGCAAACCAAAAAATAGCTGGGCATTGTGGCGGGCATCTGTAGTCCCAGCTACTCTGGAGGCTGAGGCAAGATAATCGCTTAAGCCCAAGAGTTTGCGGTTGCTGTGAGCTGAGACACCACAGTACTCTGCCGAGGGTGACATACTAAAATTCTGTCTCAAAAATAAATAAATAAATAAGAAAACTTAGCCAGGCATAGCAGCACCTGTCTATAGTCCTAGCTAGTAGGGAAGCTGAGGCTCTATCATAGCTCACTGTAACTTCAAACTCCTGAGAGCATAGCTCAAAGTTACAGTGAGCTATGATAGAGTCATTATATTCTAGCCTGGGTGACAGAGTAAGATGCTATCTCTAAAAAGTAAATAAAAGATAATTATTTTAGCCATTGATCACCCAGGATTAATTCCAAATCAGTAGAATGTAGCTAATTTCATTTTCTTCCTGAAAAATGTTAACAAAATTATGAGCAGAGGAAGACTATAAAATTCCACTCACAAAATGTAAATAAACTGTCCTCATTCCCTGCACCCAAGTGGCTGAGTTTTGCCCGAGTAAAATCACTCAAGCAGGCTGATTACACATTTTAGATTCAAAACCACAAACCTCAGAGGGCACACAACACCGCCAAGAAGCCTACACTTTCCTAATAATTTTGCTTTCTCAACCTCTGAGACACCTACTTCGCAGTTCCGGTTTTTTTATTTTTGAGACAGAGCCTCAAGCTGTCCCCCTGGGTAGGGTGCCATGGCATCACAGCTCACAGCAACCTCCAACTCCTGGGCTCAAGCAATTCTCCTGCCTCCACCTCCCAGGTAACTGGGACTACAGGAGCCCACTACAACGCCCGGCTATATATATATATTTTTTTGAGACAGAGCCTCAAGCTGTCACCCTGAGTAGAGTGCCATGGCATCACAGCTCATAGCAACCTCCAACTCCTAGGCTCATGCAATTCTACTGCCTCCACCTCCCAGGTAACTGGACTACAGGAGCCCACCAGAATGCCCGGCTATTTTTTTGGTTGCAGCAGTCATCATTGTTTGGTGGGCCCAAGCAGGATTCGAACCCACCAGCTGTATGTGGCTGGCGCCTTAGCTGCTTGAGCCACACAGTTCTCTTTTTAAACTTCTTACAACTTGCCCTCCTTCATCTAGTATCATGCCTTTATGCCAACAACTCCCAGAATCATGGCTCTAACTCAGACCCTTTAGGTTCTAATTAATCACCTGACATCCCTTCACGGATTTAAAACAGGATAGTTGGCTCGGCGCCTGTGGCTCAAGTGGCTAAAGCACTAGCCACATATACCTAAGGTGGCGGGTTCGAATTGGACCCGACAAACAACAACGACGGCTGCAACCAAAAAATAGCCAGGTGTTGTGGCAGGTGCCTGTGGTTTCAGCTACTTGGGAGGCTGAGGCAGGAGACTCGCTTGAGCCCAGGAGTTGGAGTTTGCTGTGAGCTGTGATGCCATAGCACTCTACCAAGGGGGACAGCTTGAGGCTCTGTCTCAAAAAAAAAAAAAAAAAAAAAACAGAACAGTTCATTTCCCCCATCAACTCTATCCCTCCCTGTGGCATTCCCCACTTCAGTAAAGGGTACTGCCATCACACCTAAGCTGCCACTGTAACTAGGGGATATCCTTCATTCATTTTCTTCAGTTTCCACAAGCAACCCATCACCAAGTCCAGTCTTATTCACCTCTAAGATATAATCCAAATCCACCCTCCTCTCTCTCCCTCTACTTGCCCCCAGGCTAAGATAAACCACCAGCATCTCCAATCTGTCTACTCCAGCAGCCACCAGCAGGTTTCACCATTTCATATCCATCCCCACCCAACTCCACATACCAGCCAGAAATGCATCTTCAAACATAAATCAGCCCCTGCTAAAACCCTCTGCTGACTTCCCAAGACTCAGATAAAAATAGATACTCTTTGCCAGGACCTTCTAAATAGCAGACTAGGTCCCTGGGGATATAGTTATGAACTTAGGATAGAGACAGCCTCCGCTTTTATGGACAAACATAGGTATAAACAAGTAAACAATGAAAGCAGACAATTAGATTGAGAGAAATGCTCTGAAGTAAAGAAACAGGGATAAGGGAGACATTTTAGATAAGGTGATCAGGACGGGCCACTCCAGAGGATGACTTTTCAGTGACAAGCTAAGAAAGGGAAGAAGCAAGCCATTTGCAAAGAAACAGGAAAAAGCATTTCTCCCCTGAAACAGCAAACACAAAGGCCCCAAGTGAGAAACGGCTTGGTGGGCTCAGGGACAGGGAGGGGACCAAGTGTGGGGAGGTAGGTAGTGGTGAGCGTGGAAGACTGGTGGGAGGTTTGGAGGTGCGTAAGCAAAGTAGAAAGGTGCCAGGTGAGCTCTTGACTGTGTGGCCTGGCAAAGGATTGGGAACCACCCAGCTGCACGTGACAGGATCAGTTAAACATCAGTATTTGTTCATGTCTTAGAAGACTGTGTACATGTTCAGAAGATCGTGGCCACTCTGTGTTGATACGGATGGACCTCAACCCTCTGACAAATGAAAAAAGAAAAATGCATAATAAACAGTGTGTGTCCTGTGCTTGTGGGGGGGAGGGGGGAAATCTGACTGGCAGATTGTACTGCAGAAGTACAAAGGATATGAAAGAAACTGGTATGGGGAACAGGGTGAATTCAGAACAGGGAAAGGAGATTCCCACGTCTTTTGATTTTTCTACCTTATTCATACACTGAAAGTTAATAAAAGAAAAGGCCAGGTACAATGGCTCAAACCTGTAATCCTAGCACTCTGGGAGGCCAAGGCGAGGGACTGCTTGAGCTCATGAGTTTGAGAGCAGCCTGAACAACAGCAAGACCAGAACAGCCAGGTATTCTGGCAGGCCCAGGAGGTTGAGGCAAGAGGACAGCTTGATCCCAGGAGTTTGAGGTTGCTGTGAACTATGATGCCATGGCACTCTACCCAGGGCGACAAAGTGAGACTCTGTCTCAAAAAAAAAAGAAGAAGAAGGGCGGCTCCTGTGGCTCAAAGGAGTAAAGCACAGGCCCCATATGCCAGAGGTGGCAGGTTCAAACCCAGCCTCAGTCAAAAACTGCAAAAAGAAGAAGAAGAAGAATGAATGAAGAACAGTGTCATTCATGCAACAAGCCAGGTGTGGATCCCAAAGAGGCATCAAAGTTCAAGTTGGAATGCAAGACACTCCATTTTATTAACTTCTGGGCCTCAATTTCCTCCGTTAAGGACCAATGAGGTAATTTACATGGAGCTGGTAGTACAGAGCCTAATTTACAGGAAAGAACAAAAGCACCAAGGTATTGTGGATATTCCCTTCAACTATTTGTGTGAAGGCAGAAATAAAGCAGTGGACAATAACAGCAATGAAGAGTCAGAGATTGCTCACCCCGGGAACTATTGTCCTTATACACATTTCAGTAAACGCCTACAATCTTATATTTCAGAAAACTCAAAAAACCCGAGCTTATTCCCATTATTCCCTGCCAAAACTCAAAATAAACAGAGCATACGCTGCAAATAACAGTGAGGAAACAAGTCATTTGACCTGTTTGATATCATGGTAGTTACCAAAATACAAAACCTGTTAGTCCAGTAAGACCCTTCTCCCTTTTGAACCTCTGTACCCCTTTTCCAAAGAGCGTCCCCGGTGAAAGCATCCCTTCACCTGTTCTACACGGTAAGCCTTACTACTGTTAAGTCAAATTGTCCCAGACTCCGGGCCGGCGGGCGGGCTGCGCGGGCGAGGGGCACAAAGACCCTGCCGCCGCGTGAGCTCGGGCCGGGCCGCTGGGTCTCCAGGAGGGCCCGTCCCCTCCTCCTGTCCTCTTCCCGAAGCAGTCCCAGCCGACCCGGCCCAGGAGCCCAAGCCCGGGGCGCTGAGCAGAGGGGAGCGAGCAGCTGGCTGACCCCGCCCGTGGCCGCTGCCTGTATCTGGGCATCGCCCCAGCGCCCCTCGGACACGCCCCCTGTCCCCAGCCGGCTCCGGCCCACTCGCCGCGGCTCGCGCACCTGAGACCCGCAGCAGTCGCCGCGCTCCCGCCAGCCGCTGTGCTCCTCAGGTCCGCCAGGGTCTCAGGTCCGCTGGGCTCTGCTGCGCCCGCCCCGCAGCCACCTCAGCCCGTACCCGGCGGCCAGGGTTTCCGGACGCTCACGTGACCGCCCGCCCGGGGCACGCCGGGAGCTGTAGTCCGAACGAGGAGTCCCACCTGTGCGCGGTGGAGGCGGGGCTGGGAGCCCGGCTGCTCCGAGGAGCCCGGGGCAATGACAGCCGGGAGGGCAGCCAGGGAGAGAGAAGGTAGAATTTAGGGAGCACGGTGTATACAGTTTTTTTTTTTTTTCAAAAAAAGCGCTATTTCTTTCTTTGTTTTTATACAAAGTAGCAGGCTACTGACCTGCCTAAACTTTAGAGTTTTGTTTTATGAAATGCAGTTGCCCACGCAGGCAGGGCCATTAATTAGTCTGCTAGTATCAATCATCGCGGCCTCAAGGAAAACTTGAAATACCTTACAACACGCGTCTCTGAAGAAGGGTCTGGTCTCTTTTTCAACTGTTGGAGAAATATAATTTTTTTTTAAATCTCCTGCACACCTGTAATACTAGCACTCCAAGAGGCCAAGGAGGCAGAATTACTTCAGCTCAGGAGTTCCAGACCAGCCTTAGCAAGAGCAAGAATGTCTTTACTAAAAATAGAAAAAATAGTCTGGCATTGTAGCGGGAGTCTGTAGGCCCAGCTACTCAGCAACCTGAGGCCATCGGACCAGGATTGCAGGAGCCCAGGAGGTTGAGGTTGCTGTGAGGTAGCTTGATGCCAAGACATTTTGGCCTGGGCAGCAGAGTGAGACTCTGTCTCAAAAATAAAGAATAAAAATAAAACAATAAAAAGGCCTATTTTTCTGCAGAAAGGCAGGATGGTAGTCTTAGAGAGATAGTCTAGCTTCCTTCTCATTTGCCAGCAAATTAATAAACTCTTTCCTTTTTCCTCAGTTACTTGTCCTCATTCTTCATTCTCATTGATTCAGCCTTGGGGACAAGGACTGAGCTTTCTGTAACAGGGTGAGCAAAACTAAAAGAGCCAAATATACCACTTGTATTATTAAAAATATGTTATGTTATGAGGCTCTGCACCGCCGCACCTGTGGCACAAGCGCCAGCCACATACGCCCGAGCTTGCAGGTTCCAATCCAGCCCAGGCCTGCCGAACAACAATGACGGCTGCAACCAAAAAATAGCTGGGCGTTGTGGCGGGGGGCCTGTGGTCCCAGCTACTTGGGAGGC